CCCCCCCCCCCCTAGCTCAGAGTCTGGATTCGCCACTGAATAAGCTACTGGTAACCTGTGCAACACTCAATGACTTTATTAAACTATTAAATTGTTCACGGTACATGTATTTAATTAGTTTTTCATTACTTTATGAGTAATTTCCTTCACAGCTGTCACTGGGATTGTCATCTTGTCATGCAATGTTTTTTGCATGAGAGCTCAAATGACATTTGCGGTCCGTACTGCACAGTACTGCACAGTCTCACCCTAATGTTTATAAACATTGTAAATCTCACTCGATTGAATGTGAATCAATGTTTGAGAATCAATGTTATTTGTTACGAACCACATACGTTATCTTTGAGGCCTTTCAAATTCTTTTTCCAGTAGCTTCATTGATTTTTACAGCTGCAAAGTTGTCTCATCAAGTGATATGAGAAAGAATGGAACAAACAGCTTTGACTGCTTTGCATCCATAATGGTGGTTGTTTTGAAACTTTGAATTTATTTCATTAAGTAGTTGCAAAATGTTTACGTGTGATGTCCTACATGAAACAAAACAAAAAACGCAAACAAACGGACTGGAAATAATATTTTAAGCCCAGTCTGCACAGTGTAGACACTGTGTCAGGATTATAATTTTTTTAAACTCATTAAGAATTCATCAAGTTAAAACAAAGAAAATCACTGCCGTGAAGGAGGTTTGGATGCCCAGTCTTAATTAGCATAGATTTTGACAATTTCACTTCTCTGTTTACCCCTTAGTTTTCATTTCGATTAAGAAGATATATCAAACACTCAAGACAGTGTTTCATTGGCTATCCAGACACCTCGAATTTTGTCAAAAAATACTCTGCTGCATGTCATATTTTCCTCTCTCGTGTTTGATATAATATTTATTACTTCTAACGTTCCTTTTTCTATTTATTTTTCATTGCAGTGTATTATAGAGACTTCACTTTGATGGCAACAGTATCAAATCAAAAGATATTTGTTGTTAAGAGGCCTTTGAAACAGGAAAGTGAATGAAATGAGAAATACTAAAGAGTGTTACATCCAAGCAAATCCACTGGCTGCTGCAGGAAGGGGGCAAAAAAAATTAATGAAAAGAAGTTACTTGAAACTAATGGTGGAAGAGATTGACTTGGCAAGCTCCACTGATCTGTTTTAGTTGAGGCAATACCTCTTACCAATATCTTAGCAATACTTCCTATCGATACCTCTTGGTGACCAGACCTTGCAGCAAAAATGTCTCCCATAGAATTAAGACCTATTGCATTCTACAAAATTACAAATAAATTATCATCTCCAAAGGAAGTTGCATTTAATTGATTTAAATGTCGCATTTCACATGCTCTTAATTCGGCAATTAGCCTGCTTGGCAGTCTTCTCCGTTTCCTCTTAGTGGAAGAAAGCGAGAGCCAAGGGGAAGTCCCCGTGCCCTCGCGCGACTCCCGCTTGCCTGAAAGAAAACGGAAAAGACTGCTACTCAGGCTAGACTCAACAGCAGGCTTTTCCTTTCCTTCCCTGCCCCTCCCCCCTGCTACTAACTTTTTGTAACCTCTGTCCCCGTGCCCTACGGCGACTCCCGCTTGCCTGAAAGGAAACGGAAAAGACTGCTACGCAGGCTAGCTTACGAACGACACGAGAGTGTGAATTCCTACATGCATGGGAGGAAATAAATAAATACACCTTCTTTCGCGCCATATTTTAGGCCAAGGATCTCGTAGCACTCTTCTAAAGTATTCCCCATTGCTTAAGGAACGCGACAATTCCAAAACGCTCTTGATTTCTCGGACTTAACCTCAACAAAGCCGGCATTTGTAAATACTTAACACAATTGTTTGATGGGTCACCTGTTTGATGTGAGGATTGTCCCAAGAGGCCACTTTCAATATATTAAAATTCAGCTTGATAGTGAGTCCTAGAGGACACAAACAAAACAGATGAATAAACATGGTCATTTAATTTCCTTTGTTTGAGTCTTCAAAGCCTCACTGCCAAGCTGAATTTTAATATACCGAAAACGGTCCATTCCGTGTAATCTCCGATTCTGACGGGGAGGGGCTGGTACAAAAAAAATTTAGGGCCATAATGGGTAAAACCTTGAGTTCTTTTTTCGTGTTTACATCTAAACACATGAGGGGTTGGGAGAACTCTCGAAAGTTAGGCAGACCCTCGACTGCGTCTCTGGTTTGCATAACTGTCACGAATTCTCCAAACCTCTCCAAGCCCCCATCGTGTTTGGTAGACTACGACGCTTGGTCCGTCGTGCGTGACGCGAAAGAAAACCGCGAGAAAAACATGGCCGCGCGAAATCCTGGGGGCGAGGATTTCGCGTGGGTATTTTTTTCCCGCAGTTTTCTTTCGCGTCACGCACGACGGACTAAACGAAAGAGAGACTGCTTGTGTGTTTGGATGATGAAGCTATGTAAACAAGGAAAACTCTATATGCAAAAAAATGTAACCGCGCCGTGCAATAACTCCAAAAAAGCTGACTTGACATCTCGTAGTTTTGCAGACCTTTGCAGTTTTGGCCAATATAGCTTTGCAGATCGGCTTTGCAGGCTCAAAAAAGCGAAGTTGTTTAGCGACACAGGATGGCGCTTCTTGACTCTGCAGAGTCGCTCCTTGAGCACTGGCTGACGATTTTGATTGCCTCGGTCATTTTGCTTGCTGTGTATTTTCACGGGATAGCTCCGTACCGGATGCTGAGAGCTGTTTATCACAAGGGGCCTACACCTCTTCCACTGATCGGACATCTAGTGGATATCATGAAGCACAAGGGCCAAATTCATCTGCAGATGGATGAATATTACAAAAAATACGGCCAGGTTTATTCCATGTTATTCTTTGGCAGTATACCCTGTATAGTCATCGGTGATCCAGAGATGATAAAGGATATACTGGTTAAAGAATCAGCTTCTTTCTACGATCGTCCTGTAAGTAAGATGAATTAGTACTTACGTCTAGCCTTGCACTTTATTTGAAGACTCCCGTTATAATTTAGTACAGTTACCATGCAAGCGTCTCCCGTCGATACTTCCCGTATTAAGTTGTTATTAATATGCCCGTCTTGATGGATTTTGGGGTCCTGAACATTGTATGGTGTGTTCTACTGTAAGGCAGCTGACATTTAAAAATTAATGATTACATCACCTAGTGCCTTCCAAGGACCCAGCATTAGTTCTATTTGGTACCGGGAGGACATTAGCCCATATCCATGTCGCTTTGTCAGCTGATCTTCAGATTTTGTTTGCATGGCCTGATATGTGGCCTGATCGAACCATAATCAGAAGTAATCATATCAAGTGATTTCACCACCAAAAAATAGACACGTGACGGTCTGATCTAACCACCAAAAATAGACACTGTCATTCTGTACTATAGTCATAGGTTTGAATATATTTGCACGCGGGCAGTGTGCAATTTGTTCATAGCACACCGTGGGTGACACTTCCATTCTGCACAGCTCACATTAATATTGGCTTCTTTTTAAAAGTGACCTTTCAGTTAAAACAGAAATGCAAGGGAAGGAACAATAGGCCCTTTGCAGGATCCGGTCACATGGTACGGAATTAATTACGCTGGGACGCAAGTTACGCAGTGGGACTTCCAAAACAAAGGAAAGTCGGGCTGGACTGTTACGATTTCCTTTGTTTTGGAAGTCCCACTGCGTAACTTGCGTCCCAGCATAATTAATTCCGTACCATGTGACCGGATCGTGCAAAGGGTCTATTGAGGGATTTGAACCATAATAGGATTGTTCTCTTCTGAGCTGGCTAAAATTTACGTAACATAAAAAACGGATGACATTTGCCCATAGCAATTTTCACTGCAGAGAAGCATGTGACAGTCTTGTTAAATTATTTAACATTATTCATGTGCCCAGTGATACCTCATGAAAAAATTGCCGGTTTTCACATGACGTCACTAAAATTCAAACTACAAAACTATTGATCTTCCTGACATTTTTCTTCCATGATGTATAAGAGCAGCTGAAAACTAATATTCATACAAATTTTTGCTATGAATGGGTTCTTGGTTTTGTCACAGACTGCACTTGAATTTCTGAGCTTTTGCGCGACGCGGCATTTACATGACGGCCGAGAGAGCTGTCATGTTGGTTAAAAATGTGACTTAATTCGGGTAATTTGGCTATCCGAACAGTTCTTATATTAGAATAAAGTACTATTTTAATGTTTTTGAATTCCTCGATAGATAAATTCACGCTTTTGTAGCAAAACTCAATGACAGATGTTTCTGTTGGTTTCCGGCCGCCATGTTGGTGCCCATCCGAATGGGCACCAGCATGGCTTCTCCATACAAATCTCTACAAATTCGGGTAAAAAGTTTCTCCGCATATCTTGCATAATTAAGAAAAATTACTGTGACCTGAATCTTGGCGAGAGTCTTTGCATATTTACTTTCTTTCTTTTCTCAGATTCTGGACTTTATCTATTGAACGGTTTTGATTTTTATTTTGA